TTAAGTGAAAAGCGCCATCGTGCAGCCGGACACATGGGGTCGGCTTGGAAAGGAGGAACGGTATGTCTGGTTACAAACGGTAGGATAAATAGCAGTTCTTTTTTCCTGGAAGCAAAAGCAATAAACTGTGGAAACGAATTGCTCCTGAGTTGGAGAGCGGCGTGTGGGGATGGGGGAGGGGCCGTACCACTCCCCCCTGCCGTTCTCGCAGCCGATGACACATTAGTTTTTAGAAAGCTGGCATGAGGAGACAGCAGGGCATTGTTCGTTTTCTCTCGACTTCTTTGCATTACAGAACAGCGCTGCACTTTCAAAGACACTCACATTATCCCCAACGCATCCACGTGTCCTGCTCAGTTAACCAGGCTGGTGTTTTTTTGCAGTCCTCGAAAGTATTTCTTGCCATGTCTGAATAAACATTTGCCCTTTTTCATAAAGCATCTTTGTTTTGGAAGGTGTATCCCCGTGGAGGCTGGTTAAACGTTTTGGTACGGGCCGGTCCACGCTTGAAAAGCTCTACCAGCTATTTCTGCAAAGCGCATGTCTTGTCACGCTCAGCTCAAGTGATGCTCGGGCCGGCCGCCTGGAGAAGCTCCAGCCCTGCTCCATAAAAGCAGTGAAATGCCAACCCCGGGCACGACCCCGTGCTGTGGGGTCATGGGCTCGGCCTCCCTGACTTTGATATTCAGGCTAAGCAAGGTGAACAGTGTCCATAATCTCAGTAACGCCCTCCCTGGTTTCCCTCAGTGGATAGATTGGGCCTAAACTGGCAGTCGGACATCCCCTGAGGGGTCCCAGATTGGAGAGGGTGCAGGCTGGGCTGAGAGGACACCCTCCCCCCCACTCTCCCATGCACGAATTTTGTGCACCGAGCCTCTAGTGCATTGTAAATGTATACAGGGTGGGGTAGAAGTAGGTTTACAGTACCAAACAGTTTATTGTATTATTATTTATTAATTATTGTATTATTTTCCATATTGTTAGGTCGGAGAGAGCCCAGGATCAGATACATGCAGACATGTGATGAGACAATGGACTTCTCCTGGAATTCCTCACAGATCAACGTGGCAGACACAGATACCGGCTTCTTCTCCCTTAATCCACATACCCCCACACAGATACTGACTTCTTTCGGAATACCCCCGCCCATCCCCTGCGGCAGAGAATTCCTCAGCTCATGTCCCCGCCCCTCACCCAACCGCAGTATAAAAAAAAAGCGCCCCCCTCCCTGTTGGTGTGAATCCATGTGCCCTGTCCTTGGGGGACGCAGAAATAAATCTTTTCCTTTCCTTTCTTTTCTGATTCACTGGACTCTCTATTTCTTGCGCCGCCTCCTGAGCTACCTAACCTAACACATATGAACAACTATTAAACCTACTTTTGCCCCACCCTGTATATGCCTAACGGTTTGGGCTCCCTGACTACCCCAAGATTCTCGGTTTCCATGAAGGCAGTGTTGTGAGTCAGTGGGACCCAGTGGTCAAACCTTTCCCTGGACAGCGAGGGGCTAAAAGCTGGACGCCTCTGCTCCTTCCACTGAAATGAATTCCAGATGGGTCAACAATTTAAATGCACACCATGCAGCCATCAAGTGCAAAACATTCTGGGTGAGTTAATTTCTGCTCTTGGACGTGGAGGAAATATTTTTCTAAGCAGAAAAAAACTCAGAAGCTATGAGGGGCAGTTTGAGTCATTTGAATTTTAAAGCTTGTATGTGATCAAAGAAACGTTGAAAAAGTTTAAAAACTGCCAAACTGTGAATGCATATATTTGAAATCATTCCACTGATATATTCCTGTTTTTTCTCTATTCCCAAAACCTTTTACTTGTATTTTTCTTAAATATTTTAATGTTTCTTAAATGTGTTGGTCTCTTTTTTGTTGTTGTTAACCCATTGATTTTTAGAGAGAGTGGAGGGGGGGAGGAAAAGAGAGAGAGAGAGAAATGTAAAAAGCCACATTTCCTCCTGCATGTGCCCCGACCAGGGACGGGATCGAACCTGCAACCTAGGTATGTGCCCTTGACCAGGAATTGAACCCGAGACCCTTCAGTACTCAGGCCAACCTCCTAGCCACTGAGCTCACCGGCCAGGGCTCACTTTATTTTCAACAATGCCCTGGTGTGTGAGACTTGGTTACAGTTTTTAAACAGCTGCCTGTTCTAATTTGGTTTGACAGGCCCAGAATGATTCAGAGTGGGGCCGTGGGGGACGTGAAAGAATATCTGCATGGAAATGTGACACTCTCCTCATGTCTCACCACATGAGAAAGCACAAGGGAAATACCCAGATTCCGGCAGCATGGAACCATCTAGAATAGCCAACCCTGGTGTTCAAGGCCGTTACACAGACGTTTGTTGTGCCACAGCTCCGGTCACCAAGGCCGAGTTAAGTCTTGACAGATGCGCTGTCATTTCTTGGAGCCGCGGAATGCGAGCAGTGGCAGCTGCGGGGTTGGCCACTCGCACATGCAAGGACGTGCCCGGGCCGGCTATTCAGACGGGGCCGTCAGTGTCGCCTTAGGCAGTGACAGATGACAAGGGCCATCAGACCTGCAGGGAAAGGGGCGAGGAAAGAGGGGTCATTGTGGCCGCGCCCAGCGCTGTGGTCTTGGCTTCTAACACGTTTTATTTTTAGGTGGCGGTGGTTGGTTTTATTTAATCAGGCTCTGTATAAAAACAAGAAATGACCCGTAATCCCATGGCCAAAATAGCCCCGGAGGACTTTTTCAAAGAAGGTCCGCACAGTGTTAGACATTTAAACAGGGCAGAACTGAAAATAGCAAATGCCACCTACTCCCTTCTCCTCTACCTGCCTCCACGGCCAGCGACCAGGACAGCTTCTCATTTTTGCTTCCAAAAGAGAAAAAACGCTGCTGTATATACATCAGCACATAGTCTCTATATGTACGTATGTGCATGTCTATGTGTGCATATATATGTGCATATGTGTTCATTTATGTATATATGTGGGCAGCCATGTACACATGTATATACGTGCATGTATTTGTGCATTTATGAGTATATATGCATATAGGTTCACTTATGTATATATGCGGACAGTCATGTACACATGTATATACTTGCATGTATTTGTGCATACATGTTCATGTGTTTATGTAAATGTGTATGTGTTTTGTACATGTGTGCACATGATTGTGTGTATATGTGTGTGTAAGGATAGATGTGTGTGTGACAGGAGCAGAAGCAGCAGGTCCCTTAAGACCTAACGGCACCGTCGGTGCCTTGCAAGCTGGTAACAGATGGAGTGTTGGCTGTAAACGAGACACATAGATCAAGTGCCCACATAAAACAGAAGCCAAAGGGAGTCAGTGATGAGAACAGGTCACCAACGGGGGCTCATGACTGAATTCTCTGCGTTGAGGTCCAAAATACAAAACAACATTCTCTATTTCTCTTTTATTCTTCGTAATCCGGATCAAAGATGACGTATCATGGATGTTATGGTTGATCTTGGAGTATTTCCCCCAAATTTTGAAGTAGCAAATTTGACATTCTGCTTTTAATTCCTAATCACCTTCCTTTCTTCCTTCCTTCCTTCCTTCCTTCCTTGCTTCCTTCCCTCCCTTACTCCCTTCCTCCCTTCCTTTTTTGTTAGTCCTCACCCGGGGTTATTTTTTCATTGAGTTTTTAGAGAGAGTGGAAGGGAGGGAGACACTCAGAGAGAAGCATCAATGTGAGAGATAAACATTGATTGGTTGCCTCCCGCACCTGCCACAACCCAGGCCAGGAATTGAGTCTGCAACTGAGGTACGTGCCCTTGACCAGAACCGAACCTGAGACCCTTTGGTCCAAGGTCCGATGCTCTATCCACTGAGCCAAACCAGCCAGGGCTCTAATTATTTGTCTTGAATAGCTCGTGGTTTAAATGCAGTGAAATGACTAAATAGTAAATACAGTTCTTTCTTTGAAATACAGCTCTTAATGGTTATTCTATGTGATGTTATAAATGTCAGCACACACTCAATTCTAAGAGATTAGAATCATAATAAATCACAATAAAATTTAATCTCTATTATTTGTTCTTTTATTATTTAAAAACACTATGGGGGGGCTGAGGACACATTTGTAATACCTTAATAATAATAAAAAAAGGAAAAAAAAACAAAAACAAAAACAAAAAAACCCCACTAATTTCAGCCCTGGCTGGTTTGGCTCACTGGTTAGAGCGTCGGCCTGGGGACTGAAGGGTCCTAGGTTCGATTCCAGTCAAGGGCATGTACCTTGGTTGTGGGCGCATCCCCAGTAGGGGGTGTGCAGGAGGCAGCTGATCGATGCTTCTCTCTCATCGATGTTTCTAACTCTCTATCCCTCTCCCTTCCTCTCTGTAAAAAATCAATAAATATATATATTTTTAAAAAATACTAATTTTAGCTTTGTTGGCTCAAAAGTGTATAATGTCCTTCTTAATATCAATATTAATTATCTAATATTTGCGTCTATGTCAATCAGCCATTCTCACAATAATCATTTATTATTTCAGCATTTTACTCTTGAAATATAAATTATTCTCTATGTCACCTGAAAAACATTTCAACATATAAAGAACTAAGGAGATTTTTGCTCCTAGGTACAGCAAGAATACAATTATAAACTGGACATGTGCGTGGGAGATGGAAATGACCTGCCTGGTCCCCACCACTGAGGGATTAGGCAGATGGTTACCTAGGCAACCACAACATCTCTAACGCCACTGGTTCAGGGAGGCAGAGATGACTGCCTGGCTCTCTAATCACTGAGCCCAAAAGCTGAGGCCAAACTTTCACATATTTCTGAAACAGACCTTCCTTTCTGGTCTGTTTCCTACCCTTTTCCCTTCGTGTTTCCTACCCTTTTCCCTTCGTGTCTTGTCTCTGAGCTCTGTCCCTGTTGCTGTGCGGAAATCTCATTTATTAATTTCCAATTCAGGAAAGTATTGTGAAAGGGAAGGAAGTGACTTTCTTTGTCGCTTCCTCTTTCGTCGTGATTCGAATTCAGACGCGATGGCTGGAGCTCCCGCAGCCATCTTGGGCCATGAGGTGGAAGGCGCCTACAGAAAACAGCAGAGCCGTAGGTTCAAGGGAGCCCGAGTCCCACAGGACTGTGCAGCCACAAACAGCCCTGAGCTGACGGCCTTGAGAGCTTTTCTCCCTCTCTTCTCTCTCTCCCTCTCTCTCTTTCTCTCTCTCTCTCTCTCTCTCTCTCTCCTATTATATACTAAGCATTCATATTTTTCACGTGAGCAGTGTACTAAATGCACCTTCTCACCATGTTCAAGGACTATTATAATTTCCAAAAGAAACACCAAAAGGCATGATTAGGCTGTGGGAGAATTTACTAAATATTTCCCCTCTGCATCCTTTTTTTCTATATTGAACTGAAACTCGTATTTAAAAAACCTTTTGCTTATGTATCGTGGAAGCCAGTTTCCCTTCAGCTGAGACACATGACATAAGACCCTGAAATTAATTGAACGCCGAGGATCCCAACTGTCACCCACACCCCTGGCTTCCTTCCACCTGATACTCGTCAGAGCCCTGACTGTGTCCCTCGACTGTTAGGACTGTTGACTCAAAATCGTGAGTGTCCAATAACGTCATAGGACTGCACCTTGGAAAACTGGTTGTCGGGGGCCAACCTCTGCTGCTACAGTCACATCCCCCGGGCTCGGCCCCCCTGCCTTCCTCTTTTCTTCATGAGGACCCTGGTGAGGGCATCGGGCGCACCTGGATCATCTATTCTAGGCCAGACCCCCCCGCCTTGTCCCCCCAGCTCAAGGTCCTGAACTTGAGCCCATCTTTGAAGTCCCCTTTGCCACGTGAGGCCTCGCTCCCAGGGATCACAGGTTCGGAGGATTAGTACCTGCGGGTCTTCCGGGTCCTTACTCAGCCTTTCCCCGTGGCTAAGGTCACATCAGCAAATAACCCAGAGCGCCGAGATTCGAACCCAGTCCCAGCCTCGGGAGCCTCCAGCCTAGCCCTCACCTCCCCACGCGGGGAGGGGCCGCCACGGGCCTTGCTTTCCGTGTTGTTCACAGGAATTCCC